TTTTCCACTAAAAATATTGCAGATTTTGCAGTGAAATGATGGTGAATAAACTATTTAATTATTTAATTTATTTGTTTGTTTATTTGTTTGTTTTGTGGTATATCTTTAAAGGGGCCCAACTTTTAGTTCATGCTGACCCTTGAATTATCCAGATATCAGGTGCAGAGCTAGAATGTGTAAAAAAAACTGTAACTACAGCAATTCTAAACATTATCAGTATAACTGTGCAAAACTGTACATTTATAGTCAAACCATCCTTCTGCATTCTTTTACCAATGAGGGAAATGAGCACAGTTCTAATAGCTAAATATGTGAAAGAGTGTTACTTTATGTTATTATATTCTATTGCAATATGGAGCAATTAAGTGTTAAAGTTAAATCAAATGTAATGCACAGAATACTTGAAAATGAAATTATTTAATGACAATATTTTATATAACTATAACAATATAACTATGGTTACAACTGAGTTATAAAATAACTGTATAAAATGATAAGTGTTCTACAATTAATATTATAAGTTAAGTATATTATAAGTTAAGTTAAGTATAACTTATAATATTAATTGTACCCAGATTAAATGTAAAAAAGTTACCCGAGAGGGAGAACAATTCATATTTAATTATATGTTATAGAAGTTTCATTGTTTGTGCTGGAAATAAAGTTAATTTTGGTAGCCTACAAATTGCGGATTTTCTGGTCGTAAAATTATTTTTAAAAATAGATCAAATGAAGAGTGAATAGATAATGACTGAATTTGTTAATTATGTATAATTAAAACAAACACTGCAGAAATTGCACATAACACCCTACAATCTACAATACTTTTAAAGTAAATTAAGGTTGTTTGAGTGCCATGATTTGTCTGCATAATGATATTTTCTGTCCACAAAGTGACTAATGGCCCCTACTGGACCATCCCTGGCTCCACCACTGTCATACATTTGCTTGCTGTTAGGTAAGCTTGTGTTAGGAAGTCTACAGCCTCTTAGTCAGATCAATTTATTCAGTGTTAGACTTTCTGTGCTAATGAAGGATATCATTAATTAAGAAGCCTTTAAACAGTTATGACACCCCACAAGAAGTGCTGCATGTTGAAGACACATTCTCAGTTCATTGATGGAGTTCAGGCAAAGAATAGGACAGCATCTGGTCCATCCAATCCAGAAATGAAAAACAGTTTGCGCAGCATATGTGCTATCCAGCAGTCACGAGTCCCCTCTCATTTTTTAGGAAGGAAAATGACAGCAATTAAAATCTCAGTCTCTTCTGACATAACCGAGTTGAATTCATATCAAAATATCACAGTTAATCATCATGGCACTCTTCAAGATAGGAATGTGACCAGAACAGGTACGCTATTAATTGTGCTATGAATATTTAAACTGATCAAGGTATATTTGTGGATGGTTATACATTTAATTCAATAATATTTGATTAGACATACTGCTTGGCATGTTGAGGTTTGATGAATAATTAAAGCCCTTATTATGTACTGTCACACCGTGCTTAACGAGCCGAAATAATCCCATTTAAAATTAATTTCTTCATTCAAAGTACATTAAAGTTTGAGTCAGATGGTAAAGTCATCATTAAAAATCCAGACCCTTCTTAAATGAAAATGCACAACAAATCACAAATGAAAGCTTTAAATAAAAAAAGTTAGCGTTGATCAAAGCAGGTGAAATGTGATGCACATCCACACTTGAAACGTTCTTCAGAGTGTTGTTTGAAATGTTCTTCTCATTAACAGAAAATGTCCCTTTAGAAGGGAAATGTTATTTTGGTAAATGTTTTGCCAGTGACAGATCATATTTGAGGGCTCTTAATGTCCTCAAGATTTCCATTTGCAATTTACATTACAGCTCGGCATAGTTGCTATTGTGGTGTTGTTGTTTTTTTTTCAGATTTTTTTTAGACCAGTAAAAGAAGTAACAGACAACAGACAATACAAAATATTATAGAAAAAAACTATTGCTGCACCTTACAGCTTCTTCTTCAAATATCATGTATATGCTACATTATGCAGAGAATGGAGGTCAAAGCGTGTAAATGTGCAGGATAACACCTGAATTACACACACTGGAAGTCCTGCATGCAGATCTAGGGACAGGTGACTATGCTACAGTAACTGTCAAATTGTAGCTTTGTAGATTTTTTGTTGGTGTGAGATTGCAGTTGGCCGGTGTGAAGATGAGCAGGTGTGATTGGTTGCATTCTTGAAGTCTGTCTAGTCCCTCATCCACTGATTTAGCTTTTCCTGTATTGTTTATTAGAGATAATAAAGAGCTAAAACAGTCAAAATTAATCAAATTGGAGGATTTTTTTTAATTTGTTTAGAAAACGACCAGTGACATTGTAAATGTGAAATAAACTTTTATCTTTTAGATGATAAAATGACAATTGGACAAAATAACAAAGATTTTTAGACGTTTATAGTCATATTTAGACATCACAATACCAATGTTTTACTTTTAAAAGACTTAAAGAAAGCAGCGACATTAGGTGCAATAACCCACATTTAAATCACTTCATTCCTTTTATTTATTTTTTAATAATATATTACAATATAATGCATTTAAAAAAGTGACTAAATTGGTTATTTTTTTTATGAAAAGTAACGCCAGATTTATTGTTTAGATCAGTGGTTCTCAAACTTTTTTTCTCAAACCAAGTACCACCTCAGAAAAAAAAATATCTCTCCAAGGAACACCATAATGACTGGTATTGAAATATATAATAGATCTAATTAAGCGGCTACAGCTCTGCAAAGTTCACAAACGTGGCAGATTAATTTTTAATATTATGAATATGTATTATTGTCAACCACTTTAAACAATAAATAGTTTGAGGAATAACACACGTACAGGTAAAAAAAAAAGAAAAGAAAAAGATAAATAAAACGTCAACGTTTAAAATAAAATGTGATTTTAAAAGTTAACTAATACTGGCACTCTTTTTAAAAAGTTAAAAGAAAACTGCTTAACTTAAATGTAAAGTATTATAAAGTAGCCTATTCATCAAAACCTGCAAATGTTTCTTGGACCTCATAGGTTATACCATATGTCATAATATTCATATATAATTCTGTTTGATAAATTTTGAAATATGTTGCATGTATATATGATATCATAAAGATGATATTATTTGTATATCTTTGGATTTAAATGTTTAAATAAAAAGTAGATCTGCTTCCTGCTCGTTATGTGTGTCAGAGAAGCTAGTGATTAAACTATACCTGTCAACATTGGGATATAAAAATACGAGATACTCCCCAACAACCGTTACAAAAATGGGAGGAAAATAACCTCAAATGATAGAATACATAACAAACATTAGAAAAATGAAAATAAAATAAAAAAGTTTAGCCTATTAAAGTCAATTTCCTGATCACATCGTTGTTAACGTACGCGTCAAAAAGTTAAAAGTGTGTTTATTTTTTTACTTGAATTATTCAGCGATTCCTCCGCATACCACTAGAAGTAAGCCTGGGTACCACTTGTGGTACATGTACCACAGTTTGAGAACCAGTGGTTTAGATGTATTAAGTTAAAATAAGCTTTTTAAAAATGTAAATTTAAAATAGGTTAAATTGTACTGTACAGTTATATGTATTTAATGTTGAAGTCAGAATTATTAGCCCTCCTGAATTATTAGCCCACTGTGTATTTTTCCCTAATTTCTGTTTAATGGAGAGATAATTTGTTCAACACATTTCTATGCATAATTTTTTTATTAACTCGTTTCTAATAACTGATATATTTTATCTTTGCCATGATGACAGTACATAATATTTGACTAGATTTATTCAATATACTAGTATATTCAGTTAAAATGGCTATTTAAAGGCTTAACTAGATAAATTAGGCATGTCAGTGTAATTAGGCAAGTCATTGTGTAATAATAGCTTGTCATCAATTAAATAAATTATATCTACAGTGCTAAGCATATATGAGTACACCCCTAACAAATCTATCTTTTAAATTCATATGTTGGTCCCACTTTATATTAAGTGTCCTTAACTACTATGTACTTACATCAAAAAATAATTACAATGTACTTACTGTGTTTGTAATGTATTTGAGAACACTTGTGGTGCTTTTGAGTTGGGATAGAGGTTGGGTTATGGACAGGTTTTGTGGCATGGATAGGTTTAAGGGTGGGTTGAGGTGTAAGGCATGATCAACAGTGTATTTACAAATGTAATTACAAAAGTTAATTACAGATGTAACTACATGCATGTATTTAAACAAGCCTAAGTACACAGTAAATACATGTATTTACACAATAAGTACATTGTAACAAACTATTTAATACTATGTAAGTACATATTAGTTAAGGCCACTTAATATAAAGTGGGACCCTTATTTTTAATAGGAAGTTATATTATATTTGTGTATATACATTAGATTAGTCAGTACTGAAGCCGAATCTGGAGCTTACCTAACAAAATAACTTACAATAATGGTCCAAAAACAAGTACACCCATATTTATGTTATAGAAAAATATTAAATACAAATTTAAAAAAGAGAAAAAAATCATAAAATTTATCTCTAAAAAGTGATTTACAAATATTAATTAATCACACTTTCTGTAATAACTTATAATTTTAGCACAACTTAAAAAAACTTAACAGCAAAAACAAAAATTGTATTACCAACTGTTTTTTAAAAAGTAAAGTGATGCAAGATTTGATAATACATTTGGAACCCTTGCATAACTGTGGCTGCCTGCCTCTGCCTTTTCTCCTCTCAGCCAAACAGTCTTCATCCTTCCCTACGCTCTGTCTGACAACAGCTGTGTGTTATTCCAGAGGAGGAGTCTGTTCAGTTGTGCCTTATTCAGGAGAAGGAGGAGTCCGTCTAGCCATTGGTGGAGCATAAGAAACCATTAGTAAAGCATATGTTAAGGGTGGAGAGGACTGAAAGGGGAAGTTCACATGCTCTACATTTAAACTTAACGGATCTAAAAACAGCCCTCTGCTATGATTTCTCAAGTTATTTCTATGCAGTTAGAAAGTGAAAGAACAACAGAGTAGTGGACATATTTTTGTTCCTAGAAAAAGGGCAGGAGAACAGTTTGGAGGCTGTGGGAGAACTTGTTGAGGAAAAGTTGGTGAGTTAGATTTCAGTTTTGTGTTGCAAGTAAAACATGCTGTCCGAAAACTAACATATTCTTTACGGATTAAGTTGTAAGATGTAAAATGTAGTAGGTAAGTGAGTTAAGGACTTTTTACACAAGTATTAACAAGTTCTGTTCTTCAGCTGTCCAATGTTACAGCATATTTTTTTCACCCCAGCTTTAACTAAGTTTGAACTTTATTTTATGCTTAAAACTGTAGCTTTCATTGTATCTAAAAGAGTGTCTGGTTCTCGACAGGTCTCGGAGTAGATTAGAGCTGTTGAGTGACAGAGATGAAACATGCAAGGTCTGCAAATAACCTCCCAACAGTTGTGAGTGACATCTGTCACTGCTAATTTAAGAAGCGCACATACTTCTTTACATATACATACAGTATATCACTAATTCAATAACAGTTGGCACATTCACAACCCGGATGGTGTCTATATAATATGGACTTCCCAAAAATGAAATAATTTACTGAGCTTTCTGTTATTTTAAACCTGTACAACTTACTTCAGTTTATAAATAGAAGACAGTATATTTTTAACAACCACATTGGACCCCATTTATGTTCTTTGAATTGACAAAATGTTTATGAGAATAATTACTGTTTTATATAACAATAAATGGACGTCCAATAGTTTTGGAATGTAAGAGTGAATAAATGACTAATTATTATTCCACTAACCTGTTATTGTAGTATGATAGTTATTTTGAATTATAAAAAGATTAAGACAATTAAATTTGTTATGTTAGGTAATAGGTAGTCTAAGTTCTGGGCTGTCAATTGAGGTGTTTTGAAATTGTCTTCTTCCCATGTATTTTGGAAACTTGTGGCTGTACAGTATTTTATCTTGGTGTTTTGAAAAGACATTAACATGTCTCTATTTAACTTTGTCTTGGATTTAGATTTAAGATCGTATTTTCTTTTTAATTTTCATTTTGAATCTGTCACTGTATTTCATCAAAGCAGTAATGAAAAATGGGTATGACCTAGGCCTATATACAGTTAGATTAAAGTTTCTTAGCTGTAAGTGTAAAATATTACAATAAAAGCAAGTGTGAACAAAGGTTATAGTGGAGTGAAGTTGGCATTAACACTGCAGGCTTTTGAAAATGGAGAACTAAAACAAAAACAAGTTTAGAACGTGCTTTACTCTAATAGTTAATTATGATGAGGGAAGTGAATAACAGTAATATTAAATTCATGAGTGAAAGTGAAAACCATCATCACTGTTTGCCATCATCATTTATGTATGAGAGCTCCTCCCTCCTTTAGTCAAGGACAAAAACATTGTTATAAATGTTTTTCTTTTCATAATAAAATATGCCACCATTTTTCACAGAAAACCTGTTTTATAAACGTGCTGGTGACTTGACCCTTTCTAATTTTTTTTTTTTCAGATGTCAGTGACAACCAAAGTAATCCATACACAAATTTACAATTAAACAAAGTAGTTTAAAAATTAATTCATATATAATAAAATGACATTACATAGTAAAACAAATCAAACGCAGAAGACCATGGAAAGCATGGAAAGCTGCAGCTGAAATCTCTCAGTTGTTAGAAAGCAGTGTAAATTAACATTAGTAGCTGCTATAGTCCCAATACCTACATTATTTATCACAAGATGAATATGAAACTAGGGTGGACATTTTAGCAAGACAATGAACACAGCCAAGGAAACTCTCACCTGGTTTCACAGAAAGAAAATAAAGCTGCTAACATGGTCCAGCCACACAAGAAGCGTTTTGTAGTTGTCATTTCTAAAACAATACTTATTACAGTTTTTCTCAGTCGCTTTGGTGCATTTCTCACTACACTATTTACATTTGCACAACAGTTAATGCATTTCTCAAAACAATTAGTCATTTGTGCACATCCTAGTAGCAGTTTCTCATTCTTTTCAACAAATTGTAAATGCTTTCATACATGCATCAATTGCTTTCACACAACTCTCTGCAATTTATAACATTATCATTTGCTTCTGTCACGTCAGTCAAAATGAACTAAACTTGTAAATGCTGAATAGTCATTCTATATAAAACTAATAGTCCTCATTTCATTACTTGAGTCATTATATACAAAAATGGTGAACTAGTTGTCAAAATCTGTCAAACAAACTTTATAAAACAAATTTAAATATTTATTTTCCTGAAAATGTCTTTAAAATTGAACAATTTGATGAATGATATACAGACCTGTGTATGTTGTAGGCTCAGTTCCAATATGTACTGCAATATTGTTTACAGTTGTGCACAGTTCTACCTAAAGGGAGTTTATGTTTGTTGTAAATAAGGGTTTGTTTATTCTTTTGCACAATGCTGTGAGTAAATTAGGATTGCAAAGAGCAAATGCAGTAAAAATGTGAAACATACATATTTAGTGTCTTGTACTCAGATACCTCACTCAATGCAGTGATGTCTCACTTTACTGTAGTTTTCAAATGGCTGTGCAAATAGTCTATAGTGCTGTCTTGTACTTTTTTTTGCATTGAAAAATTGTCCAGAGTAAACTGTCATAATGAAAACATGACAAAGTCATTTGACTATCTTGCTCAAAAACAATGGTGTCAGGACTTTTCATTTTGACGATACTGACACTTTGATTGACATGAATACTTGCTTTTGAAGAATGAACTATCTATTTTGAGCATGTGACACACTTTTGCAGGTTATCAGCTAGGTTTTGCAGTTTGCACTAATTGTTTTGAGAAATGCATTAACTGTTGTGCAAATGTAAATAGTGTAGTGAGAAATGCACCAAAGCAACTGAGAAAAACTGTAGGTGTTAAATACATTTCAACAGTTCATTGCCTTCTTCTTCTGTCATTCCATTGTTACTACAAATGACACATTTTGTGGACTGTTTGGGTTTTTACTCAAGATTTGAGTCTAGTTGGACAGCATCTCTAGAAATATATTTACCTGGAAAAATCACTGTTATTCAGATTTTTTTCTCTGTATCTAGCCTTTTAATTGTGCAAATATAACTATCTAAATTCACAAGAATGCCAGTAAATGAATGTACTGCAGAAACATGTCCATTGCCGGATTACAGGAAGGAAGCACAGGGTGTGGACAATGAGTAAAGGAAATACTGTGAGTGTTTTCTTAGTTTCTCTATGGTGATAAGGCCCAGAGTCAGTAAAGGCCTCTTCCCTTGTCTATTATCTGCCAGAAAGTTCAACAAAGGCTAGATAAGAGCCATGGCGTTTTATTGAATGTGTCGCAAAAGCACTGTAAAGCATACACACCAGCATATAAGATCTACTGTATACCTGACAGCTCTTTACAGAGTTTAGCACCTTACCATCTCTATTAGCACTGACCAATATGAGCACTGGCTATTGCATTAACTTTAGTTCAGATTTATAAGCTGTCCTCAGTCATAGTCAGGGGATTGCAGTAATGTACACTGTTGTTCAAATGTTTAGTTGGTTTTTGTAAAGGGGCATAAACTGCCTTTTCATTTATTTGGTACTTCTCTGAGATCCACTTAAAACTTTACCAAGCTTTACATTAAGAATCATAGAAAAGAGGCAATGCTATTTTGTGTCCTGTTTGTTCATCCTCATCTCTGTTTGAATAGGTTTGGTGGACTGTAAGAGTATTATAACATATTTTATAATAAAACTATTACTAATGAGAACTATGTTTAAAGTGTCTCTATTAAAGCTCATATTTTGGTTTCTGAGCCCCCAAGAACAGATTGACAGCCATGCGAGGTCAAAAACACTTTCAGTGGGCCTTCATTTTTCCATGTCATTAATTCAATGACTTCCAAACTAAAAACTATCAAAATATTTTTTTCTAATTCCTCCTTTTGTGTGGCACAAATCATGGTGCAATGACCCTGACTATGATATTATTCTTTATTTTAAGAGACAATATCTTTATACAGAATTCACTCTCAGATTGTATAATTGTGCAGGTTGTTTTCATTCACCTACGTGTGTTACAAACTGCAAAATAGCTCATTTTGAAAAATCCTTAATACAGGCACTTTAACTTACTGTAAATACTGTTTCAAGCTTAAATGCTAGCTACATATAAATCAGTCTGTAATAACAGATATAGCAATAGTGGCCTCATAATAAAAATAGTTACTTAATGCAACATTACTGTTGGATCTATATTGCAAACCTGAAAATTGTCCCCTTTTTGTAAAGGAATCCACAGTAAAATGAAGTAAACAAAGGACCAAGTTCTTGCTGACTTATCTGAAACGTTGTTAAAATGGAAAATCATTACACTTTCCGGTCACACTTTACAATAAGGTGCATTAGTTAATGTTAAGTAATGCATTTACTAACATGAACAAACTATGAACAAGACATTTACTACAGTATTTATTCATGTTAATAAACGTTAGTTAATGAAAATACAGTTGTTCATTGTTAGTTCATGTTAACTCATGGTGCATTAACTAATGTTAACAAGCATGGACTTGGATGTTAATAATGCATTTGTAAATGTTCAATTATGATTAATAAATGCTGTACAAGTGTTGTTCATGATTAGTTCATGTTAGTAAATGCATTAACTATAATGAACCTTATTGTAAAGTGCTACCTACTTTCCTAATGCTGTCTTCAGAAGGATTGGAACAATCTTGCAATGCAGAGCATCTTGTTGTCTTTGGAGTCATATTTATAATTTGGTTTCTGTATATAGACCTAAGAAAAGTATAATTATCACTGAATATTCACATTGGGGTTTTGATGATATGATCTTTTACGTGCTTTATCTCAAAGCATAAACTAGAAAGGAAACTGTTCTGCTTTTCCTCCCTCTGTTACAGATGTCCCTTCATCCCTGAGTACCCTCTCCCACAGCTGTCCCCCTTAATCTTACTGCCAAATATCCCTTCGCACATCTGGAATGGACAACCAAAATGCACAAACTGCTAACAGAGACTCTACTCGTAAGTATTTTGTAGTTTTGAGCACTATATGAGTGTCTGTGACAGCAGAGTGCAGCGTTATCAAATGGTTGTGTTTGGATGTGGATTGATGACATTTAGGAGAGCAGACTACTCTGAATTTCACACACTATGTGGAACTAAAACAAGGACTTGTGGTTTGTTTTTGTGGCCAGTGGCATGTAAAAATAAATTAGATAGATAGATAGATAGATAGATAGATAGATAGATAGATAGATAGATAGATAGATAGATAGATAGATAGATAGATAGATAGATAGATAGATAGATAGATAGATAGATAGGTAGGTAGCTAGGTAGCTAGGTAGGTAGGTAGGTAGATAGATAGATAGATAGATAGATAGATAGATAGATAGATAGATAGATAGATAGATAGATAGATAGATAGATAGATAGATAGATAGATAGATAGATAGATAGATTGATTGATTGATTGATTGATTGATTGATTGATTGATTGATTAAAAATACATTAATGTCTCTTATGAAATCATACTGACCCCAAAACATTTGGACTGTTCTATTAAATGACACCTCATATGTTTTCCTGCCCATGTTATAGAATATCAATAGTAACTGTTGTATCACAAGAAAGTAAATTGGCACAACTGAAATATCAAACCAGTTTGTTGATCTTTAGATGTTCCCGAATGTGTTTTGTTGCCCTAGAATTTTAACCACTGGCATAGATCTGTTTGAGTGTGGGTGAGGGGGTGTTGTAGCTCTGAATGTGAGATATGAAATATGTTTACAAGACCAGGAACAGCCAGCTGTGAAAACATAGCCGACAGCATAACAAGCACATAAAGAGTCAGAATACAGCAAACCTCTTGATAATCAACTGAAATCAGTATTAGTACACTTTGGGGATTTCTCAGCATGAATGAATTGAGCGAGTTGATAAAATCCTTTATTGACACGCACTGTTTACATTGTTTTAGCACCCAGTGGAATTATGCAAATCAGGAAGCAAAACACACACACAAAATTAGTCCTCAGTGTCGTTTGCTTGATGAAATTTTCAAAAGCACAGGCCAGGTCTGAGTTTTGGGAGGTAACAGCAGCGTCTTGCAAGTTGTGTGCAATCTATAATGAGGCTAGTCTATATTAACAACTAGTAGTTGTTAAAATGCTAATAGGAATTGAAATTACATCATAAGGCTAAATAACAATTAATCCTGCAGGCAACAACCAATGTGGACAATAACTAAATTATTTGACCTGTTACACTCTTAAAACAAATGTGTTAAAAGCAACACAACCTGTGTCATCTCTTAACACAAGTTTATGTCATAAATGAGCTTTATTTTTTACCAGCTAAACAAGATATATATATATATATATATATATATATATATATACACACACAGTTGAAGTCAGAATTATTAGCCCCCCTTAATTTTTTTTTTCTTTTTAAATATTTACCAAATAATTTTTAACAGAGCCAGGAAAGTTTCACAGTATGTCTGATATTATTTTTTTCTTCTTGAGAAAGTATTATTTGTTTTATTTCAGCTAGAATGAAAGCAGTTTTTAACTTTTTAATAACAATTTTAAAGTCAACATTATTGGCCCCTTTAAGCTATATATATATATATATATTTTTTTTTTTTTTTTTTTTTTTTTTTTTTTTTGATAGTCTACAGAACAAACCATCATTATACAATAACTTGCCTAATTACCCTAACCTGCCTAGTTAACCTAGTTTGAAAACATATATATTATAAATATAAATTTATATATATATATATATATATATATATATATATATATATATATATATATATATATATAGATAGATAGATAGATAGATAGATAGATAGATAGATAGACAGACAGACAGACAGACAGACAGACAGACAGACAGACAGACAGACAGACAGACAGACAGACAGACAGACAGACAGATAGACAGACAGATAGACAGACAGATAGATTAATTATTATTATTATTTTTATTATTATTATTATTATTATTATTATTATTATGAGAGTTTATTCATGCTGAAACCTGAACAAAAATGAACATCAGCCAATTCCAACAGACACTGACAGGGGTAGCACACTGATGGAAAACATTTATAATCAAAGATTTTTTCATTATTGTTTAATTTGTTAGGATATGACTGTAATTTGGCTGAGATACAACTATTTGAATTTTTGCAATCTGAGGGTTTGGAAAAAATAAATAAAAATACTGAGAAATTGCCTTTTTAAGTTGTCTGAATTAAGTTCCTAGCACCGCTTTCTACTGATCAGGAATTGAGTTTTGATTCATTTACAGCATAGGAAATGAGCTAATTATCTTCATGGAACATGATCTTTAATATGCTAACAATATACCTGAAAAAAATGCTTTTGTGCTGCAGGGTCACAAGATGCAGTTGCTCTTTATCCCTGCATCTTCAAATAGATTAATTTGACATGTCAGTGAGGCTTGTTAAAATCATTACAACTGAGAAACAAAGGAATAAATAAACATACATAATAGAAACTGATTTTGTTTTGTACTACAAGAGTAAGTGAGAAAAAAACAAACAAGTGAGTGACCTCAATTGAAAAGAGATTCATGAGAGCCACGAGAAAAAAATGTTTAAGCTCAAAGTAACAATGATAATGTTTGCCATTTTCCCCAACATCACTTTTGCCTTTTTTTTCATTCTAAAAGATGCTGTGTGCTTTGTGATTAAAGTCACTGTGTACGTTGGAAATTGTGACCAGTTGCAAGGTTGTATTTTAAGATCAATTTTAGGATCAAGAACCCAGCACATCACCTGTTGTGTGTTGGCATAGTGCTGCTTTCAATAAGTTTTAAGCCTCCATTGTCCCTGAAGGTGGATATAAGTAATACAATCCTGATCTTAATTTATGACTTCCTGATGTGGCTGCTAAAGTTTTGCACATTCTACTTTTTTGGCTTATTTTGAAATAACAATAATTAAATGGATCTCAAACAGGGAATGTGATAGACCGAAACGTTAGGGAGAAGAATCTGAAGCCCAGAGAAGAAAGGGAACAAATAAAGGAAATAGGACAAGACTTTGCTTTGTTCTTGGAGGAGGATAAAACAATGTTGGAACCAGAGGGGTTGTAGATGTTTTCCAGCAGGACAAATGCTGTGTGAGTGTGTATGTCTTCCTCAAAGCAACAAAACAGCAAGCCAGAATGTTGATTTATCTTCTGTTCTAAAACAGCCCTCACATTCAAGTCCCACAGTATCCAATGCATCTCGCCTCAGTCCAACAGCTGTGTGTGCATTCACCTTGCATTGACACTTACAGTATACCATGACATTGATTTTAATTGGGAACTGTTAAATGGAGGACAGTATGCACATCTGTGTTTGTAGCTGTAATGGACCAGCAGAGCTAACTCACGGATGGATTTGTTTTGTTGTAGTTGTTATTGTTGTTGCTGTTGTTATCATATTCAGTGCCAGGATGGTTATGACTTACAAAAGTTGTATTAATAATTTAGATTTAATGATGTAGAATATTTGTTAGTTTTGCTTTTTTTGTCTGAATAATTAAAGAAGATATGACCTGATAAATAAAATCATTAAATGTCCCCTAAAATAAGATAATTATCAAACATAACATATACAGTATGTCTTATCAAATTGGTGCATTGGTCTCAACTTTAAACAATATATGTATCATTTTTCAGGTAAAGACCAAACAAGTATGCATTTTTTTCCAGCTTCACCAAATGTTAATCAATATAAGCAGATCAAATACATTAATTTTAATCAGTTGGTAACACTTTAATCACAAAGGTTTAATGACATGTCTTATGAACACCCCTTAATTGGTAACTGTTAAATGAAGGACAGTTTGCAAATCTGTGTTTGTAGCTGTAACGGACCAGCAGAGCTAACTCAAGATTGGATTTTTTATTTTTTTTTTTGGTTGTTATTGTAGTTATCCTATTCAGTGCAAGGAGGGTTGTGACATACACAATTTCCATTAATAATTTAGATTTTATGCTTTAAAATATTTGTTAGTTTATTTTTTTTCCAGAAAATTCAAGAAAATATAAATTTTCAGGTAGAGACCGAACAAGTATGCTCATTTTTTTCTAGCTTTACCAAATGTTAATTAAGGTAAGCAGATCAAATATATGTTCATTTAAATCACTTGGTAACACTTTTATTATAAATGTTTAATGACATGTCTTATGAACACCCCTGCAAGTAAAGGTTTACCAATCAGTTTTCCCCTATTTCAGACAAGCATAAATACATTAAACACAATGTAGATCATGAGATAATCCAAAAAGAGTGCTGTAAAAATTACACTTGATATAGGAAGTATTAGATCTTATCACGTTGCATGTTTTCCAAAAAAAACATTTGAAAATACTGGAAAGTTTAACCAATAGAAAATGGTGTGGTAGGTAGGTATATACACTTTTCATATATATATATATATATATATATATATATATATATATATATATATATATATATATATATCCCTCCACTGGAATGCTAGAAAATCAGCAGAGGACTCTTTATATTATTGCTGATGGAACCAGGCACTGTTCTCCAGCAGCTGTCTATAATCAACCTCAGTGGGCCTGCAGTCACTTGACTGGCTCATGAGAGCACATGCCCATTAGTAAACTCATTGAAAGGGCTTTTTCACTGACTCTCAGCTTGAATGAGAGAATCTGAGAGTGTGATAGAGAAGAGAAGGGGAGAGGGTTTCTTTCGAAGCGAGATGCCTGACATATGGTTGGGTGAGATAGGAGCGTTACCACTTGAGCCTCAAATCCCAGGCAGATGTGACCTCAGGCCATGAAGGAAAGAGAGAGACGGGAAGAAACACCAGATTGTTTGAGGAAATCAGTTGCAGAATAGCAGAGAGAGGGGAATAGTGAATAGCTCTTTAACTGAGGCTCCAACAGGACTGAGAGGAGGGAGAGAGGGAGAGAGAGAGAGAGAGAGAGAGTGTGTGTTTGTGTTCAGAATCTCATGACTG